ATGCATTAACTAAAAACACAAATAAAGGCAGTAAGCTCCGTAACATCGGCCTTAATAACTAAAAAAAAAAAAAAAAATTTTAATATATATACAATTAAAATATAAAGACTTTTAAATAAAACTTTAATTACACAAAAAGTTTTTCTTGGGTGAATGCCACATTCGGGATATATGTGATTTACATAGTGATCTGCATCATATTACACTATTATCATGCACCAGGTGACTGGCGAATTACCAATTAAAATAATAAGATATTACAAAAAAAAATAAATTAATTAGAAGATTTAAATTTTAAAAAAATTATAAAGTTAAATAATTAATAGAAATAGAGAATTGCTATTTACACTATAGATTTTTGCTATTTATACTATAGTTATATGAAAATTTTTTTAATTTTATTATAAGAATTTGTTAAATGTAGCAGTTTAAAGCTGTGACAGATATTACGTAATATCCATTTACTATAAGGATACCCCCTCCCCTATATAAGACAATGACTCTGATTGGTTGACAAAATAAATATAATGCAGATCTGTAAAGATATATAACCTTAGCAAATTTTATGATATCTTGTGATTCAGTAATCAAAACTTGATGATTTTGGTACCATTTGATCTATCTCAATGAGACGGATTGAATGGTACCAAAACATCGAGTTTCAACTGCTGAATCACAAGATAATTGCATTTAAATAATTTTTATAAATATCTAAATAACTTGTCAACTAGTAGTCCAAATTTAACAATTTTGATACCATTCGATTCTTTTCAATGAGATGATTCAAATAGTGCCAAAATTGTTAAAATTAAATTACTAGTTCGTGAGATATTCACAAAAAACGTTTTGCTGTGCAGTTCTTTACAAAACTAAATTTCTTTGTAAATATATAAAACTGTACTGCAAAATGTTTTTTATAAATATCTTGCGAACTAATAATTTGATTTTAATGATTTTGGCACCATTTGAATTGTCTCATCAAGAGGAATCGAATGGTACCAAAATCATTAAATTTGGATCACTGGTTGACAAAGTTATTTAGATATTTATAAAAATTATTTAAATACAATTATCTTGTAATCTAGTGGTCAAAACTTGATGATTACTTTAGGGTTTGATATACTTTATTTCTCTTTAGGTTCAAATATCAATATAACTTTAACTATATCTGACTTTGTTATATTAACAAAAATATAATTGATCATATATATAACTTTAATCATTGTTTAATTAAAGATTCTGTTATATTTATTTTATCTATAGTTATCTATCAATTGCTATATTTAAGATTTACTTGTAAATTTTTTATTTAAACTTTTTAATTAACTTGATGCTAATAGAATATTTTTTTCTAACAAACCTGTTTTAACCTTTTAGAATATTTATTTTTGTAATAAACTTACCAGAATAATCTATATTCTATATATATATTATCTAGATTTTTGATAACTTATATTCTAATTTAAAGACTAAACTTGCAGTTTTTTAGTTCTACTACTATTACTTTTTGCTCTTGAAAAATTTATCTAAACTCCAGTATGCTTCTTCAAGTTTATCTAATACTTTTTTTTTCAGTACTCTCTAGCTGATCTTCTTAGACTTCTAATTCAGATAGTTTGAAAAAATACCAATCTTCTGGTATCTGTATTTATAAATTCTTTTTCTCTAGTTAATATTCTAATAATCTGGTTAATAAGATACTCTTACTAAATACTCAATTCTCATCTAGATGTACCAATCTCAGATATAATCTATCCTAGTAGTATCATTAAAAACTTATGCTATCATTTTTTTTGAAACTTGCCAAACAAATATTTATCTCTTTAGTTTTTTGACTTTATATGGTTTCTTGGAATTTATTATGAGTTTGCATTAACTAATACTAACTTGCATGTTTTTATACAACTTATATATTGTACAAATGCTAGATATTTCTTCCAGATATTATATAATACTTGATATGATCTGAGTAACAGATCTGCAATCTAACTAATTGACAAAAGACAATAACCATAATACAAATAACAGAATATTCAAATTTTGTCATCAATAGGATTCAAACCTAGACATGCTGCTTGGGGGTGTGACAACTTCACCACTTCACTAAACCACCACACCCTTGATTAAGTAATTCCTTATTAATATAGGCGAAAATAGATTATGAAGTAGATTAGCATCTATTTTATATATTGTATATTTATTGTATTCTATGCTGATTTAAATAATAAAGAATGAATCACTGAAGCAAAAAAAGCAAAAAAAATAAGATTTATTAAATTTTATGAAAAAAATATAAAAAATTGTATTTAAATGTTTAAGTCAATGTAATTATCTTGAAATGATTCTTACAAATAGTTTTCAGCTAGAAGAAATTAAAAAAATAATGCGATAATTGCGTGAATCTTTTAGAATTTAATTAAATAAGTTAATAACGATTGATAATAATTTAATTTTTCGTGATAAAAATCTGATCATGTAAAATGATTAACATATCTGACATAGTTTTGATTACTTAGTCCGTTTATCACCCTAACATCATACGTACCTGACATACCAATAACTTCAAATCAATACAGTTACCTGTATAATTAATAATCATAAAGTCTAAAAACAACATAACTGACCCAAGACGTACACTATAAGTCCTGAATTTACACGGTACTTCTAAAAACACAAAACGCACGATCAAGTACGCAGTTAGATGTATAATTACCTTTATATGCTTACGGCTCAAGGCTAAATTTGGCAACCTGGACTGTAACACCTGTCAAATTCAAAAACACCCATTCATCTAGACAAGCAATAATAAAAGTTATTTTTATATTGTCATTATAATCAAAAAATTGTATAATGAAAAAAGACAAAATCGATGTCAAATTTAGTTAAAAAAAATAAAAAATCGCAATGAGAATATTTTCTTTTTTTTTATTAAGCAGATTACTAACAAAGAATGCAAAAGACTGCATAATAACGAATCAGATTATTAAAGATATGCTAAAAACTTTCAATAATTAGTACCAATTGATATATCTGATTAACGAGTAATTTAAGGAATACTATACCTATTTTAGAGGAAATTAAAGTTGAAAATTTTGAAACTTTGTAACGGATGGTAATTCGTAATAAAAATACCACGTGATCTTGATATAGTGATCGGGGTAATTTATCAATTTAATAAGAAATACTTATTTTCGCTTTTGAACCTTGGTTCTAAAATGTGACGGATGATAATCCTAAACTTTTAAGTTAGGAAATACAGTAACAAGAAATATTGATTTTACGGTTTTGAATCTTGGATATAAAGTGATGGATGGTAATTCTAAACTTTTAGTTTGGAAACAAGTAATTTAAACTTTTTTTATCTCATGTACGTATAAGCAACAAACAATACAGCAATACAGCAATACATACGTTAACGAATATGTGGGAAAATTCTGCTATTTTCTGTGATCACAGTAAATCATCGGCCCTGGACTGATATCAATTCAAAAAAGACCTGATCTACAATTTTATTAGTTTACTACAGTACTATATTTTACAGTATTACGAATCGAAATATCCTATAGTCTAACTTTTATTAATTAAATTCGGAAAACAAAAAAATTCTTTATCGTTATAACGATGAGGACACTGACAAAATGTCAGCTCATTATACCTTTTTATCTCTGCTAAAGTTTCAATTAAATTTTAGTAATCATCGTAAATGCACTTAATTCAACAGCTTATTAGACGTATTCCGTACGTACGTACGTGATTTTAGTAGCGGTGTTACAAAACGTTATTTAAAGTCGATTGACGATACATTTAGTTCACATGTCCATAAAGATAAGGTATTTATCATCACACAAGTGTAACATCTTAAGTTTGTGTATTCCTATTGGTCGCACTTTAATTATAAATATGTCTCGTTTTTGGGCTCTAAAAAATTAAAAAATGTCTGCTTTTCTCGGTATCCCACCTGCAGTGCTTACAGATTCTTATAAGCCTACTCACGCGTTTCTGTACCCTGACGCTATCAAGGTTCCTATAATAATATTTTTTAAAGGTGGCATTTTGTAACTAATAACGACTGTGTGTAACGTGAACTTATTAAACTGTTCGTTAAAGAGTGTAGCGTATGGTGAATTTAGGAGCGGGTATAATGGTGACAAAGAGGACACTCGCTTATTATTTTATGGGATCCGATATATGTGAGTTTTACTAATAAAAATGTTTTGTATAAATTTATCATTAACTTGTATTTATCGTGTTCTATTATCTGCCACAATACATTAATTATCGCGAACTAGAATTGAAAATTATATTTCGGTGAAATGGACTTTGCAAGATGTTGAATTGGCAGAAAAATTTTATGCAACTCATAATGCTGGTTACTCTAGCTTTCCTTTTCCAAAAGAATTGTTTCTCAAGGTACCTCTCAAAAAAAAAATAATAATAATCATATAATTCTATCATTTTATATAAGTTTTTGTATTTTTTGTACGCGAATTGACAACTCGGTCAATCTTAATTATATTAACTAGTTTATTAAAGAAAATGATGGGTACTTTCCGGTAAAAATTGAAGCATTACCGGAAGGTACTGCTTGCCATGTGCATACACCTGTTTACCAGATTACAGCAGAGAAAGAATATTCATTGCTGGTTACATTCTTGGAAACATTGATCACAATGTCTTGGGTAAACTTTCATTGATTAATTAACTTATTAATTTTATTGAACTTTTGTAATGTTAATTTATACATCCTTTTTTTGTTTGTAAAACGCGATAAAGTATCCTACGACTGTGGCAACACTTTCACGTCGTGCACGTGATGTAATCGAACAAGCATATAATGATACCGTTGATGATGATGTTAGAAATCTGACATTGGAAAGGTAAATATTACTCAAAGATTTACTCATTATCGTGCATAATACTATTTATTTAACTAAAAATATTTTTAAGTCGATTACATGATTTTGGTTTTCGGGGATGTACCTCAATAGAACAATCTGTAATTGGAGGTTCCGCTCATCTGGTTGGTTATGATTTATAACTATGTATGATAAAATTACAAATATTTATGCTATGTATAAATGTGTTCTATGTAAAGATTAATTTCGTCGGATCTGATACAATGAGCGCTGGTTACTATATTCAATTTAAACTCAATAATGGAAAACCTGTCGCCTCTTCCATTCCAGCGACCGAACATTCCGTTATGACTGCGCATAAAACTGAAAGAGTATGTAAATGTGAAAAATCTTTTAAATATCGTCCATGACCATAATTTATTTATTTTACTGTTATTGTTTATTATATATAGGACGCTATTTTGCGTATGATCGATCGGTTCGGTACTGGTATATTCGCTTGTGTAATGGACTCTTTTGATTATGCTAACGCGTTAAATAAAATTTTGCCATCAATTGCGGCTCAAAAGGTTGAAAAGGGTGGTTTCATGGTTCTTAGACCTGATAGTGGTGATCAAGTAGAAGTGGTTTTGATGGCACTCAGGTATATTAAATCGTTACATGCTATTTATGCATTAAATGGCAATGTTGATTGTTAAAGTTCCTTATATATGATTTTTAGAGCTGCTGATAAAGTGTTTGGAAGTGATGTAAATAAAAAAGGTTATAAAGTCATTCGAGGTTGCGGTGTCATTCAGGGTGACGCTGTTACCATCGAATCCATGAAAAACATTTTGCATGCGGCTAAAGAAGCTGGATATGCGGCACAAAATATCGCATTTGGCATGGGTGGTGGATTGCTACAGAAAGTTAATCGGGATACAATGAGCTTTGCTACAAAATTGTGTCACATAACTTACGCTGACGGATCTCGAAAGTTTGTTTTAAATGCTAAATGTTTTTAAGTTTACCTTTTACATTCTGGTAAACATATATAATGTGTATTTATAGGGACATTATGAAAAGTCCAAAAACAGAAACCGGAAAAATTAGTTTGCCCGGT